GTAAAACGTAAGTGTTGTTGTCAGAAGAAACGGAATTTTGACGAAATGGGGTAATTTGCTAACTTAGGGAAATAAAGCAGTTCTCTTTGAGCTCTGTGACAGTGGCCTACCCAAACATAGCATCAAATTTTCTCTACCCTCTTGCTCACTAAGATGATGCTAATGATGATGTATGTATGTATGTGCATGTACATATCTCCATGATGATGGTGTTGTTCTTCTATGTCTATCTTTTGTATCCATGCGGAAGAGATGATGCATGACAAGTATGTACAATGTCACTATGCGCGTGAAATATGTTTTCTTTTTTAATTGAGAAATTGGCAGCTATAACACACAAAAAAAACTTTAATTAAGTAAATGACCAAAACAAAAAAAAGTCCATTGATATTGTCTGTATTTTCTATATATCTGACTTTTTTAACCTTATGTGAAGTTCACGCACCTTGACGTGAGTCTTCTTTCTTTTGCGTAATTTCTCATCTTTTCTTAGTACATGTAAAAACTTATCTTCACCATAGTTACTGTTTTCTGCAGAGAGAGATCAAAATTTAAAAACCCTTTTGCAATTTTTCATCTTTGCCAACGAATATTCCGACGAACAAAACAAGGTTAGCCTCCGATCTCTTTTCCTAATTTTGGTAATTCGGTGACTGGCTTTCATTTGATTTTCGGGGAGAAAGACTTTGAATTTAGGATGTAGTTTTAATTACCTTCGAAACCCCAATTGCCCAACCCTTAGTTCTCCGACCATGTTTTATGGTTATACGATTGACTACCGTACATCGCCGGCGGTTTATTTAGCAAATTCGGCAAACTGATTTTATTGATTTGGAAGTGATTAATTTCTCTCAAATTGAGTTTAGTTTGTCTACTTCATCTTCTTTATCAAAGGATCGAATCACTTGTTTAAAGCTTGGAATTGTTGTTTGGCGACATATGATTTTCCTTTTATTTGTGTTGTTGAGGTTAAGAGAACTTGTGTTTTTAAAAAAGAAAGTTGCTTCAGTTTGGGAATTATTGAGATTTTCTGTGCAAAGTCTTACATAGGAGCTGTCTGTTTGGATGTCTTATGGTGAGGCCTTTTTATGTTATAGCAATTTTGTAGAGAACGAGCAAAGTAATATTTTTAAATAACCAATCTTTTAAGTCAAGCTAATATGTACTATCTAAGTTAAGTCTATTCTATTGTTTGTATTCACTCTACTTTTGAAAGCATTCCACTATGTATTTTTACATGTTTGGAGTACGTAATAAGGTTTTTACTTTTGTATTGCAAGAACACCGTCAATGGGAGAAGTTGGTTTGCCGCATCGTATGTTCCGGCTTGGCGCTGAACCTGAAGGCAGAAAAAGGATCAATAACTATTTTACATTGAGGTGGATAGAGATAATAAAAGGAGCACTCGATGATGAGCATTTGAAGAAATTGTTGGATTCCCAGTTTGGAAATGTAATGCATATGGGCACACACCAGTTTTCTGTGATGTTCCTTCACTACATACTTTCTAGGCAGTTGGTGACGGAGAAGAAGTATGAGATGTGGTGGCTTTTTGCTGGGAAGCCAATTAGATTTGCTGTTGATGATTTTGCTCTTGCGACGGGTCTTAACTGTAGTAAAACTGGATTCAAAAAGGAGGATGAGAAAGGGAGAAGTAAACGGAGAGGGGGGCAGCGTCCTAGTCGTTTTTTCAAGTCTTTGTTTGGTAATGAGTCAAAACCAACTACGAAATGGATTGTTGGAAAGCTGACCCTTGGGAAAAAATATAAAGACGCGATTACACGTTTTCGGTTAGCTTTGTTGCTTCTAGTTGATGGCATCCTATGTCCAACATGTGCCAACACTATAATCAGTCCTGAACATGTTGAAATGGTTAAGAATATTGATGTGTTTCTCAGCTATCCGTGGGGGCGAAACTCGTTCCTAACAACAGTTCGAAGTGCTAAGCAGAGAACATGGAAAGAACTAAAACAAAAAACCACAGCAATTCAAGGGTTCCCACACGCATTAGTCCTTGTAACTGTCATCTGTTGTCCAGCCATCATTTATACTCAAGATGATGCCTTTAACATTCTGGATATAACTCATCCTATTGAAGCTGTGGTGCAAAACGTTGTGCATAGGAGTTTGAACATCAACGTCCAAGATGCACGGACGATTGACCAAAGTGGCATGGTAATCTTGACTTTTTTATTTTTTTATTTTTATGGTTTAGAACTATGTATGTTGAAAATAGTAAAACTTGTTATCTTATTTATAGTTATTTTAAAACGCATATAGTCTTTGAATATGTAAATTCATTCATTGTTTCCAATTTTTTATTATAGGACCATGTGACTTCGTTGCTGAACGAGGAAGGGATTGGCTTATCTTTCTCCGATGAGGAGGATGATGAGGAAGTATCCCATATGGTTAACCTGATATTAGATGAGCACCCGTTTGAACACAACAGTTGGGTTGGTGGCGTTGATGCGTCTGAGGCTGTAGAATCCTCTAATGATGAGCCAACAGAAGAAGCAATTATGGACGATGTTGAGATTGATGGTGCAGAAGAACAAAAAGAGGAGTTACATGGAAATGCTGAACAGCAAGAGGAGTTACATGGTAATGCTGAACGGGATAAAGATAATTGTGTGACCGAAGCAGCTGGGTATGGAATTAAAAAGAGGAGTTACTATCTAAGTTAAGTCTATTCTATTGTTCTCATCACTTTTCTTCTCACCGCGCGTTCAGAGAAAACAGGGACAGAAATGTCATTGTAGAGAGACCACCTGTTACTTTCTTAATATTACACATTATAGTGCTATATTCTTCATTAAATTATCATATGGTTATTGATTTAATTCACCTTTTTTAATTAACGTTAAGTATTTTAGTTTTTGTTCTTTAACTTGTTTTAAAAGTTTTGAATAATAAATTATGAGAAAACAAAGACAGGTCTGCCGTTGCTGGGGGTACAACCTGTATTTTTCAATTGGTTTGTATCCATTTGTCCAAACATTGTTTCTTTTGTATACTTTTTGGTTTTCTTATAACTTTCTATGGTTTTTGGATAGAAATTTAAACTAAATTAAATATAGGGATATATGCACAAAATACAAGATTCATCACCTAGTATGAAGGATTTCGATCATCATACATGACCAAGTAGTACGAAACTGTTTACTTATATAGTTAATTTGATAGTTGAAGTAGAGAACTATGGAGAAGTAGATCCATCGAAATACTATACAAGTAGAAGCTCTTAATTATGAGGATCATATTTTACATTCATATATATCTCTGCACATTTTTCTGCTCAGATAGGGTAACTATTTCGTCGAAAACCGAGTAAACTAAATCCAAAACTTTCTGCCTTCCAAATAGATTTCCAACGATAAATACAAAATGGAGGCAGAAGCAACACATGTGGATGTGCTTTGCTCCTCTAATGTCTCTGGTTTACTCAGAAGGTTTGCTCTGACGCCTCGAGTCGATCCTACAAAACATAAGAAAACAAGCTAAACATATTACATCCAATATTAATATTCAACATGTACGAGCAAGAACCAAATCTATCATCACTAATTAATATTTTTGTTATCTTGGCGAAAACGACATCATGAAATACATGCATGTTGCATTGTCTGTTTATAAATGTCATTATATTTGAGATGAGTATATATATAACTTGTAAGTTTCTTTCGTTTTTAGTTGATTAGTAAATGTCACTGCAAGAAAAAAAAATCTGTACGATATTAAATGGAAATACTATTGATGAATGTAATAACATCGTCAAAACAGTGAAAATATATATTACTAAGAAAAATGAAACTCTTGATATATTGGGCGAGAAAACTCCAAAACAAATTTTCATATGAAAAAAAAAAAGTGTAAATAATAAAGGGAAGTAGAAGGTCATGTGAAGTCTCATCATGAGTTCTTACTTTGTGCATGCGCTTCGATTTTCTACATGGCAGTTTCGCAGATATACCCACTTTACCCTGTCTTTTGCATTTTAATTTGTATTTCAAATTTACACTACTTAATCAGTAATTGTTATCTTAATCAAAAATAATAAACATAGAAATCGTGTTACTAAAGCTCTTTCTTAAATAAAATTCTTCCTTTCTGTTAATAAAGAACAACACGCTAATTAAATAATTAGCATACTTTACGTACGAGAGTATATCTCGCGCCACTAAAAAGCAACATATAGAGAGCTTTTTACAATATTTGAGTTGATTATTCTTTCATTTTCATTAATAGCTCGATTGAGATTATTTGACGTGTTTGTGAGTGTCTCTTACCTTTTTATGTGTGTTTTGTTTCTTGGAAGTGGAAACTACAAACCACGGTTCTCTTAATAAAACTCACGACATGTATCAAGAACTAAAAAGATAGTACTACTAGACATGATCTTTAGTGTGTTTAAAGCTAAATAGAACATCATAACTTATTATTAATTATCATAAACACAAACAGAAAAGTACACATTCATAATTTGTTAAAAATGTTTTTGGATGATTTTACTGATAAGGAAAAAAATCTGTAAAAGAAGAAATCGGATTTTTTTCACCTACAAAAAAGACTAATGTCAAACCTTTTGGGACGATGTTGATCTTTAAAGTCAACATTGTTTTTTCTTCAACATCATAATTCTTCTCCATCCCTGATTAGTGATTATTTCAATCAGTGCCGGCCCGAATGTATGGGCTGCCTAAATCAAGCCAGATAATTGATGCCCGACTGAAAAGGAAAAAAATCGTTTTAAAAAAATGCATATTTTGGGTTTTGAACTCTGACTCATTAGTAGAGAGAAACCAAGCTTAACCACTAGACCTAATGAACAACTTTGTAAATGATGCCCCTAAATTTCTTTATGACATGTGATGTCCTAAAACCCTAGCTTCATGAGCTTCTGCCACGGGCCGGGCCTGATTTCAATCCTAGTGTTCTTTGATGTTTTGCTTTTCAAAAATTATAAAAAAATATCTAAAAATTGCACAAACTTGGTGTCATTGTTTGTGGATTCTTCCATTTTTCGTTTTATTACCAAAATTTCTTACAACAAAACAATATAAGTAGCATTGTACTATTTAACTAAACTTTATGACATTTATTTATTTCCTTTCTTCCTCAGTGGGGTTTATTTAATAATCACAAGTCTAAAACCCACTTCACGTTTACCTAATTGCTCCGAAGAACCTATCTATACCTTTCTACAAAGATTTGTATATATCATAGACTAAAGACATAGATGATCTGAGACCAAACAGAGCCAAAATACAACAAAGCTACTTGGATGACCTTCTCAAGATGTACCACTAGAAGCAGCCATGGCGGATTTATCAGAGCTGAGGTTGGAATTTTCTTCATGAGTACTGTCTTCGTGATGCTCGTCGTCCTTCTTGGCATTTAGAAACCGACCGCCACATCCTCTTGGTCGTCTTATCGCATGCAAATGCCGAGATTCATGCAAATATGGCTGCAACATACACTCTCAAGAATTACCCAAATGAAGTAAGATATCATAACAAAAACGCGATTGTATAAAGTGTTTTTACCTTACGTGACTTGATGACTTTATTTTGAGACTCAAGTCTTGCTCTAGATTGCCTTCGCCTTAGTATACCGTGGTATTGCTTTGCGTTAACAAAAACAGGTTCCTCGACTGCATCAGATGGTAAAGGAACACCTTGTTGCTGTATTCCCATCAACTGTAGATGTACCTGAAATAATTTGTAATAAGCTGTTAACATATAGACGATCAGAAGCATTGTCGTAGTGAACTGAATAATACACCATACCCCGGTATACGGTTGTGGAGGCGGTGCAAAGATGCTTCTGTAGTAAGGATCTGGATATGGATATTGTCCAGGTGCCTTCAGTTTTAAGAATACATACACACACACAAAAGAAAACAAAGTTTTGTTACTTCTATATCGTCTGAAAATGCAGAAAGGTGATATTAATGGTGCCAAGAAGTAGTTAAACCTACAAATTATCAACTAGAAGGTCTAAGGTTAATTACACTACAACGATGCAATAAGCATTAGCAATAACCAGGAGAGGTGTAATAAAAAAACATTTCTTTTTTACAGAGAGTAAGAGAGTTGCAAGAAATGAAACAAAACATATAGTAAAACCAATTAGCAAACTCGAATTAGCTTCAAAGGCAAGGCAATCAAAGATTTGGATTTTAACAATCGACGAAACTCATTAGTAATAATAATCAAGAGATGTGTGATAAAACATTTCTTTTTACAGCGAGTTTCAAGAAATGAAGTTTGGTTTTTGGTAGTTGAGAGATGTTTTCTACCATGGAATGTGTACTCCCCGGGTGAGGAACCGGTTCCGAGTAGACTAAACTTGTAGCAATTGATTCATAATTTCTTCCAGGAGGAATTGGTGGTTGGAAATGAGAATCTATCTGTTCTTGCTTCTCATGACTTCCAACGTTATCTGGACAAGAACACACCAAACTTAACAAGAGAGCACCACCACGAATCAGTAATAGGAAAACAACATGAACTATAGAACAAGCTTAGGTTAAAATCTATGTTTCAACAAAGCTTCTGAAAGCAGAACCATCTTGAAATAAGACAAATATATAAACAAGGAAGAGAGAGAGCAAAAACCAGAAAGCTCATGGATTGAAGAAGTCATGACTCATGAGCTTAATGTCCGAAGCAGAATTCTGAAAAGTTCCAAAGAACAGAGTCAGTACATGATTCTTGAAAAAACCCATTAAATAAATTCAAGAACCAGAATTATCAAATCCCCACAAATCATTAACCTCATATTTAAACTAAACAAGTCAAGCTACTTAGAAAAATCACGGAACCAAATCAGAACATAATCACAACCCACAAATTCATAATTAACAACAAAAGCTGATAAACCATAAACCTATAATTCTAAAACAGCAAAGCAAAACAAGTCAAAAGTTCAGAATTTCAGAACCAAAATAACATTTCTATCTTGAATTGACCTCTCTGCAATTTTCAATGACGATTAGAGCCTATTCTTGAAGAAGAGAAGAAAATGAAGAACAGAGAGAGAGAGAGAGAGAGAGAACGAGAGAGTGTCGTTTTCTTCCCCTTCCTCTGTTCCTCAAGTTATTCCGTACTTTTTATATCCCCAAACTTCAGAGCGTCCTTCTCCATCAGTCTAAAACATCATGACGTTTTTGGTCTTCAGCAAGTAAAGAAACGGCAGGATTTGTAACAATTGATGCGGACGCAATATGGATCGTACAAGTGGAGAATTAGAGAGGCGTTTTAGATTGCACGTAGCAGATTACGGGCAGATCTATTATTTTCTGACCGAAGCAGCTCACTTAACTGATTAAGTCCACGGGGACCTAACCTCTACCCGTTGCCCGATACTTATTGGTATTTCTGTTGCGAGTCATCGAAAGCGAACTGGTTCGAATTCTAGAGACAAGAAACTAATCTCGGTTTGGTTTGATACAGACTCGGTTTACACTACACTAATTCGAATTGTTCAGCTACATAACCGAAACTAAAGCCAGAAATTGAAAATCCTTACGTTTTGATAATTAAACCGATGATATTATTATCTTATTATTATATAAACTCTCTAAATTTCATAAAAAATGACTTTAGGCTGTGACTCATACCGATTCGAATAGATATGTAATATTCTATAACCTTTTGTTGGGTTTATTGTGTAGCACATGAAAGATAAGATTATACTCAACTTTTTAATACCTTTCGTCGTTTTCTTGATGTCTCATGTCATTACGTAAATGATCCATTGATTATTCTCTGAGAATATTCCAAAGAATCTCTCTACTCAGACCAACAAATTTCAGATATTATCATGTTCGAAAAGTAGAACAACATCAATTCAATTTATTACGATTCTTAAATCAAAAATCAAAAACAGCAAAAACAAATAAAGAGCTTAATAGACTTCAACGTGCCACTGCTTGTTCTTCCTAAGCTGAGAAAGCTTCAAGTCCCAGCTCTCACCTCTCTCCTCTGCAACTCTCTTAAGTGTATCCTGAATCCCAGGCATCATTCCTTTGAGCCCACAGAAGTAAATATGAGCTCCATTATCCAATAGCTTGAAGATCTCATCACTATATTCTTCAATCTTGTCTTGCACATACATCTTTCCACCTTTCTTGTTCTTCTCCTCTCTGCTCAATGCCTTGTCGAACCTAAAGTTCTCTGGATGGTCTTTTAAGTACTTTGTAAACTCATCGTCATAGAGAAGGCTATCGGTGTTGGCCACACCTAAGAAGAGCCAAGCTAAGCCGCTAAATGTCTTGTTTGGGACGTTTTCCATGAACATTCGACGTAGGTAGCCTCTGTAAGGAGCCACTCCTGTTCCCGTGGCTATCATTATATGCGTCGCGTTTGGATCAGACTCGGGTAAAAGCATTACCTTCCCAGATGGACCTGGTTTCAAAATGTATATTAAGTCAAAAAAACACTTAGTCCACAGGGTCTTTAAGTATGTGATATAGTATGTTGGGTCATTTAGTTTACATACCGGTGATTTGAATCTTGTCTCCGGGCTTTGAATCACATAGGAAGTTGCTGCAGACTCCGTTCTTTGAAGGATCTTCTTTTCCAGTCTCGGGATCATAATAAACAGCTCTACGTACACACAAACTCGCTGTTTTACCATCAAAGAAATCTCCATACCTTGTTGATGCAATCGAGTAAAGGCGCACATTGTGTGGAGCTCCCGGTTTCTTCGGGTTCTCACCCTACACGCACAGAATCCAGTTCATTAATAGAAGAATGATGGCAACAATTTGAAGACAATGAAACCATATAAAAGTACAAGGGACATGACTTACGGGAGGAATCACACCGTAACTCTGCCCTTCCCAGTAAGGAAGGTTACCGTCATGATCGATTACGATATGACAAGTTTCTCCAGGGGCTTTTGGGCCAACCACTCGCTCCACGGAGACAATCTTAGCGGTATAAGAATCCTTGGGTTTGTACAAGTTCAAAGGAGGATCCTTAGCGTCTTCCAAGTCTATAGGAGAGACAGTAACCTTGGAACTACTTGTCTGTTGAACCGACATGCATATTGTCGTGTTGGTGTACCGTTTTGCATCTCTTATGCCTGTTGTCTTCTGGTTCAGTGCCAAGGAAGATGACCAAGACTTGCCCTTGAAGCTTATGCTATTGTTCTGCTGCAGAATGAAAAATAGGGTACAACACAAAGCAAGCGATGGTTTAAGATCAAACTCAAACAAACACAATCTCAAGGAATGTGAAATAGACATGATGAAGAAACAATCTGAATCAAAGGTTCTATTTAAAAACACAGCTAAATCTTGAATCTTTATGTTATATATGAGTGATTAGATGCATCACCTTGAAGACAGATCTTCTAAGAGAACGTTCGTTTCCAATTGAAACTGAGACAGCACCAGCCTGAATAGAAAATTCAAAACCCATCAGATAAAAAAAAAACTCTCTTCTGATAAGAAATGAAACGAATTTAACTCAAATACAGGATCACTACTCCAAAATCGTTAATCGAGTTAAAAAAAAAAAAGCCTAAACACAGATCAAAGATGATAAAATAAATTCAAAAACTTTCCCTCGTTTTCTCCGAAAACAGACAAGGGAACACATAAAACCCAAATCAAATCCCTAAACAAACAAAAAAATCCGACATAGAAACAATCGTTGACTAAAAAGTAAGGAACAAGTGCGAGGATCTGACCTGAGAAACAGCAGAGTGAGACATTGTTATCGATCGGAGAGAGGATCAGTTAGTTTCCGTCGGAATCTGATTAGAGCAATCAATATAATGGATTGGAGGAAGAACTAGGGTTTATAAATACAGTAAGCAAGACGATCCTTTGATACTCGTCAAAGGCCAAGCTTCTCGTTTCTCCTCTCTTTTGGACTCCTCCAACTGACGCTCTCTGTCTCTTCTTAATTAATTTTTCTTATAGTTAAGCTTTTAAATTAATTAATTGTTATCGTCACTCTTATTAATAACTAGGTTATGAACCCTCGCAATGTCGCGGGGAACTCATTTTAAACAAATATAATTGATTATGTTTATGTATTAAATTATTATGATAATATATTCAAAAATTTGAATTATTACATAAAATTAACTATGTCTTAAAGTTATAACAACTTATGAATAAAAATGTAAAAAATAAGAATTATGATTAAAAACACTTTTGAAACAATTTTTTTTTTTTGTCAACCAGACATTAATTAATAAGTAACTCCTAGTTTGGTTGCCCAATTAGGAGGAGTAGTGTCTACAAAAAAAACTTCAGACTCAAACAATTTTTATGAATGTAAAATTATTTATAAGTGACAAATACATAACGAAGAGTTATAATGTTGAGATGAGAAATTGTAGCGGGTCAAAACCCAAAAATTCGGAAGGAGTCGGTACTCAGCACGACTTGTGGGTGACTAAGAACTTCGCCCGAAAATTGATGTTTTTTGTTTGTCCACTGTTCTTTAAATATAAAATTAATATTTATTCTATTATATATATTAGAGAAAATATAAAATTTGATGACGTAAATTACATCTATAACAAACAAATAAACATTTACAAGATCTCATAAATTTCTATTTGTATTGATAAATTAACTGAGTAAAAAAACTTCTTCCTTGAATATTCATGTGACGAATTGGAATCATTGTTTTTTACTAAAAATGGAGATGATTTATTGATTACTATACCATTTCAAACGATTTATTTGATGCTTACTATATTTAAAGCGCCCAATCACAAGCGTCACATGAGGATGTCTTCTCATATTCGGACTTTGTAATAGTTCTAACTCAGCATCAATATTTCGTTGTATATAATCCATATATATTGCATTAAGATAGAAAGCATCATTGTTACCATATAAAATAGTTAAATATAATTTTTTACTGTATAATCCGTCCAATTCTAAGAAAACAATTATTGGTATCTTCATTAGAATTCTATCTTTAAAGTTGATTAAAACTTCTCTATTTATATAATCATTCCAAAAACCTTTGGTTAAATCAAAATGAGAAGAATTTTTTTAATATTCAAATGATGTATGTTTAGAAATAGTTTAGAGAATAAATAATTTGGAACCATTTACAGATTTTTTTTTGGATTCATCATGAAATAAATAATCTATGTTAAAGAACAAAAATTTTGGAACTACTTAGGAAGAAGGACAAATATATAGAGTTCAAAAGTCACGAACATTTAAATATACAACTATTCATACAAAAAGTTGTGATGAAAAAATGCAATGAAATATAGTGAAGAGACGTAACTTTAAATGAATAGATGCAACTATAAAGACACAACCGTAAACTAAAAAAAAAAATATGACTATAAATTGAACAAATAGAACTCTCTAAAAAAATAACCGTCAATATTATAACGAAAATATGCGACAAAAAACACAACTTAGAAAAAATAACAGTCAATATTTTAACAGAAAGTTGCGATAAAAAGACACAAACGAAAAAAGTTACCGTCAATATTTTAACGGAAAGTTGCGATAAAAACACCCAACCAAAAAAATAACCATCAACGAAAAAGGTAACCGTCAATATTTTAACGAAGTGTTGCGATAAAATTATACGACCGAGAAAAAATAACCGTCAATATTTAACCGGAAAGTGCGATAAAAAAAACACAACCGAAAAAAAATAACGGTCAATATTTGAACGGAAAGTTGCGATAGAAAGATACAACCGAAAAATGTAACCATCAATATTTATCGAAAAGTGATGATAAAAAGACACAACCGAAAAAATAACCGTCACCGAAAAACGTAATCGTAATTATTTAAACGAAGAGTTGCAATCAAAAAGATACAACCGAGAAAAAATAACCGTCAATATTTTAACAGAAAGTTGCGATAAAAAGACACACACGTAAAAAGTAACCGTCAATATTTTAACGGAAAGTTGCGATTAAAAGACACAACCGTAAAAAAATAACAGTCAATATTTTAACAGAATGTTGCGATAGAAAGACACAACCAAAAAAGCAACCATCAATATTTTAACGGAAAGTTACGATAAAAAGACAACCAAAAAAATAACCGTAAAAAAAAAAGTAACCGTAATTATTTTAACGAAGAGTTGCGATAAAAAAGACACAACCGAAAAAAAATAACCGTCAATATTTTAACGGGAAATTGCGATAAAAAAACACAAACATAAAAAGTAACCGTCAATATTTTAACGGAAAGTTGCGATAAAAAATACACAACCGAAAGAATAACCGTCAACAAAAAAGTAATCATCAATATTTTAACGAAGAGTTGCGATAAAAACACACGACCGAAAAAATAACCGTCAATATTTTAACGGAAAGTTGTGATAAAAAGACACAACCGAGTAAAAATAACCGTCAATATTTTAACGGAAAGTTGTGATAAAAAGACACAACCGAGTAAAAATAACCGTCAATATTTTAACAGAAAATTGCGATAAAAAGACACAAACGAAAAAAGTAACCTCCAATATTTTAACGGAAAGTTATGATAAAAAGACAAAACCGAAAAAATAACTGTCAATATTTTAACGGAAAGTTACGATAAAAAGATATAACCGAGAAAAATAACCGCCAATATTTTAACGGAAAGTTGTGATAAAAAGACACAACCGAGAAAAAATAACCGTCAATATTTTAACGGAAAGTTGCGATAAAAAGACACAAACAAAAAAAAGTAACCGCCAATATTTTAACGGAAAGTTACGATAAAAAGACACAATCGAAAAAAAATACCGTCAATATTTTAGCGGAAAGTTGCGATAAAAAGACACAACCGAGAAAAATAACCGTCAATATTGTAACGGAAAGTTACGATAAAAAGACACAACCGAGAAAAAATAACCGTCAATATTTTAACAGAAAGTTGCGATAAAAAGACACAAACGAAAAAGTAACCGTCAATATTTAACGGAAAGTTACGATAAAAAGACACAACCGAAAAATAACCTTCAACAAAAAAAATAACCGTCAATATTTTAACAAAAAGTTGCGATAAAAACAACCGAAAAGATAACCGTCAATATTTTAACAGAAAGTTTAGATGAAAAGACGCAACCGTTCAGATGTGCAAATGGTATTTATTGGAAACGACATAACCGTAAAAAAATAACCGATTAAAACGAAAATTGCGATAAAAAGACGCAACCAAAATAACCGTAAAAAAATAACCGATTTAAACGAAAGGTTGCGATAAAAAGACGCAACCGTTCAGATGTGTAAATGGTATTTATTAGATTGCTATTATATATAGATTAAGCATAAAAACCAAACCAAAGTGACAAAATGTTTCCAAACCGAACCTATTCAAACTTGTTTTCTGAACCGAACATACGTTACACACCAAACTGGTCCAAACATAATCAATAACCAACCAAAAGATTAGTATCTGTTTTCTAAATCAGATGATAACATCTTTATTTTTTGAATCGATTCAGCAAGTTATAGACAAAACCAAATAATAATAAAAAAAAACAACACGATTTTACTTGGTATTATTGACGTTGTTATGAATGTGATCACAATTAACAGAGGAATTTTGTGTTTTCGGGTATCCAAGAAAATAAATGAGAGCAGAAGCGACCATCAAAGCTACGCCGGAGACTCCACACACCAAGCTGCCCACAACCAGCACGTGATTCATCACGTGATCATCATCCTGATCTTTTGATGACGACATCTTCTTCATTGGAGATTTCACCGCACTCGGTAATATCGAGCTAGACGGTGATGACGACGAGGTAAGCTCATTTGAAGAAGGTGGTCCGAAGAATGACGTCATTTCCGATGACTCGCCTGGTTCGTAGTAATACTCAAGACCGTGATCGGAGGGTCGTAATTCTCTTGCATTGATACTTGTTGATTCTAGGACGATGAACACGATCATCATTGAAATCAACGGTGGAAACTCACTGGTTTTGTGTGCAGCCATTTTTCTTGTTGAAGTTTTTGTCTTAGGCTTAATTCTTAAAGAGGTACAACAACTTACAAGACCTTCCCGTGAAGGAAGGCTTTATACGAGAATCCAAACAACACGAAACGACTCCGTTTTATGTTACTTCAATTGCCACTACATTCGACAAAACGTCAAAACATAGTATATTTTTATTCCACGTTGGCTAAGAACAATGTCTCTCGACTCTTGTGCTTTTGTCTGAATTTGGTATAAATAATTCTCGTGAGTTTCCTTGTCGGAGATTAGCCCTAAATTCACGGGGATCTAACACAATTTAAGAAAGAAAAAACCACCGATTGTTTGTTGTAAAATTTTATTTTTAATTTTCCAGTTTGAGTTTTCCATATACTGTATTTTTATTATTTTTTGTTCAAAATCCATATACTGTATATCGAGAGTATTTTGGTCACCAATTTAGAAAATAGCTATAACTTTTTTAAAAAATGGCGTGAAAAAGGTAAAATAACAAGTAACTAGCAGTAGCAGTTATAGTTGAGTGGTATCCAAGGTTCTATGTCGTGAAAGCAAAGAAGAATCCTTGAAAGTTGTTTTTTCATCAATTTAAAGATAAAACAAAAGAAGTAAAGCTTTAACTTATAGCTAAATATATATATATATATATATATATATATATATATGAGTGAATTTGTGCAAATGTATTATTGGGGTAGTAAATTAGGTAATAGATATTAGTGGCTTTTTGTAGGGAACAATGGTCAAATAAAACATACAATTGGGTATAGATTTCAAAATATTTACAAGAAAACCAGTTTCATTTTTGGTCTTGCGCGTGAGAGAAGCGGGTTTGACTTTTAACACAAAAGTACAATTGAACTGATATGTATTAAATGCTTGTCAAGTTAAACTGATCTTTATGCGGTTTATCTGTGCATATCCAACATAAGATCTGCTTAGACATACACATTTTAATATATATATATATACACGTCTACATAGTTAACAACCAAAGTAAAACTAATTGAATATATAGTTGTACATAACCAAGTATTTATGTATTTATAAATATAGTTATCTATAACAACAATTTATAGAAATTAAAAAAGGATGTAGTTGTATATCTAAACAAATGTCGCTTGACAAAAACTGAATGGACATTTATATAAACGCATAGAGGTCTAACATACTTGATCTCCTACATCTAATTCTCACACTTTATCTAATTTCAAAGAAATTAGAGGGAACACATCTTCATCGTCGGATTCTGGTTTAGTTCTATCACCAACTGCTCCGTATCACCGGCAAGTTCTTCTCTCTCGGCAAATAAACAAGAAGGAAGCTCCGTTGGAGTCATCCTGCAAGAAATTTAGATCTACGAAGGGGAGATGACAACATGCAAGTTAAAAATGGAGATCCACGGAAAATTATGAGTATCTATATGTAGATCTAAGTAAAATAAGTAGAGATTCAAGTGGATCCGGAGAGGCCTAACAGAAAAGATAGAGTTTAAGATTGGAAAACACCAGTCGAAATTAGAGTGAAACAATTGAAACGACGGATGGTAAGATCAGAAAAACAAAAGAAATCAGGAAACAAAACTTTATGTAAATTCTACGCTCCGGCTTACCGAATTAGAGAGGAAGACGCTTTGAGACGGCGACTTAATAGTGACAACGATGGGAATCATGTACTTCGTTGGAGCAAAAACAAGTTTTCGATGAGAGGAAGACGAGACTGAGAGAAAGGTTTTGAGAGAGAGAAAATATGAGACAAAAATGAAGATAAATGATGATAAGTTTGGATTGCTCTATTCTGGCGAGTGAGGGTAAAGAAGGCAGAAAATGGGGTTGAAATTATCATTGTCATGTGATCAAAAAGATAAAACCGAAAATTTAATTAGACTCAGATCTGATACTTCACACCCAATTATCTCTATATATATTCAATTTCCGTGATTTGAGTAAAAAAGAATGAGAGTACTCTCTTTGGTTTACTGATGGTTATACTTATAGAGTTCATCTTATTTTTTGTTTTGTTTAATTTGAATAGATTATACTGCAAGTTTTGGCTGCAACATCAGGCTTTTCTTAGCGAAATTTAACGCTGTTTCAACATGTTGATGAAACTATTGTCGAACTCCAAAATAAACATATTTTTAAAAAGTTGAATATCTATTTTACAGCTTTGAGTTCTATGAGGAATGTTTGACAACAAAAAAAAAAGTTTTATGAGGAATAAAACTCTTTTAGGAAATTTAGGGTATTATTTAAACATTATATATTACAAATTAAACTACATGTTTTGAAAATAGAATGTACTCCTTTAACTATTTTCAACAACTGCACTTTGTATTTTTTTTGAATAAAAAACTATACAGATTTTCAATGATTAACTCTGTTGTAAAATCTTTTTGATTGTAATTTAAAAAATAAAAACTCCTTATATGCTACTTGTATATATTCAAAAAAATCTATTGTAAAAATATCTTATTTTTTCAAATGAAAACGTGTTAATTAACATCCTTTACTTGTGGAAGCCCCCTTGGCCATTAGTTGATCAAGGGTTGATTAATGCTTCTACACCAAGAGGTCTGGGGTTTGTGTCCCAGATATTGCGATTTATTAACAAATTTGCAGATTAATGGGGGCAAGTGTGCAAGAGATCTCCAGCAATGTACAATTATAGCCGTTCGACAGGATTCTACACAGAGAAGGAAGTGTCGCCAGGTCGTGGATCATTGAAGGGTATTCATCAAAATCACGAAGAAGGAAGTGTTGTCTGTCGTGAATCTAGTAAGGATCGGAAAGAATTGTCAGTTGTAAAATCGTCTATGTAACAGTTATCATAATTTGCAATTAATAATAAATCTAGACGAAAAAAAAAACATCCTTTACTTTTTTTTGGCAGCATAAATATTTTCCATTTTTTAATTTTTTTGAAAAAATAGAAATATTTTCCTTTACATGCTGATTCTGTTGACCTAATAAAGCAATAATCTCTATATACAATATACCCTTATATATTAACCTAATTTAAGATTTTTGGCTACACCGACGATGATGATCCCTGAAGAAGAAGTTGAGCCACCGCTTCCACAGCTTCAGCATCTACCATGTGAGTCGTTTTCGTCTCTCCCAAACGAAATCATTGTGAACTGCTTCGCACGTATCTCTAAAATGTATTACCCTTCACTCTCCCTCGTTTCCAAAACTTTTCGTTCTCTCATCTCTTCTCCAGAGCTCTATGCCGCGCGAAGTCCCTAACATGAAGTTGAAGAGGATAAACGCGTTTGCATGTCTTATTGATGACAAGATTTATGTTATGGGAGGATGTACTACTTGTTACGGGAACTCAAGTTGGTTCGAAATGTTCGATATAACGAGTCAGACTTGGAGAAACCTACCGATGATTCCTGACATTAACATAAGCTTAGCGTATGATTGGAGAATCGATGCCGTGGAAGGAAAGATATACGTACCGGTTGATTGTTTACTTGAAACACTTTTAGTTGATTGTTTTCAATTTGCATTTTGCACGTACCGGTTGGAGAAAAATAGATAGATTCTCTAAGGAATTTTTATTTATGGTTCAATATTCTGGTTACAAGGTAAACTAATTAAGATGAAGACCTTGGGGAAGCAAGCTTGGATATTGGTCAGTTACTAATCTGATACTAAAGCCCGTTTTCAATTGGGCCTGGCCCTACCAAAATTCAAACGCAAACGGTAACAGATAAGATTTGCCCAAAAAAAAAAGGATAAGGAGAAGTCGCCACGTCATCAATGAAACGAATCTCTTGGGTCTCCCTCTTCTTCTTCCTCCAGTAAACTTGGATGATACTATTATTCAAAACATTTTTAATTTTCAAAATTATACCCTTCTCCGGAATGGCTAATCACTCTCGGCCTCACATCTGTCAGTGTTTGACTCAGCTAGCCTCCGTCAAACGGAACGCCGTCGTTACAGTCTACGGAAACCGGAAGCGCACCGGCCGGGAGTTCGTCGACGGCGTACTGAGCCTCGCCGCCGGACTGATTCGTTTCGGCCTCCGCAACGGCGATGTCGTTTCTGTTGCTGCTCTTAACACGTAAATTATCTACGAAAATTCTCTAAGGAGTTAGGACTTAAAATTTGTTTTTTTTTTTAGATTCGATTTTTGAATCTGAACCGTTGAAAGTTTGGTTTTTGTTATTTTATGGTTTCAGTGATTTGTTCTTGGAGTGGTTATTGGCTGTTGCATTAGTTGGAGGAATAGTTGCTCCTTTGAATTACAGATGGGTCAGTCTCTGTTTTAAGAGTCCAGTATCTGCCTTTTAGTAGATTGTGTATATGTAGAAGAAAGTTCCTGACACATATTTGGTGTTCTTCATTATTTATTTTTGTGAAAGGGCAGAGCTTGAAAGAAGCAAAAATGGCAATGCTGCTAGTAGAACCTGTGCTTTTGGTTACTGATGAAACATGTGTCTCTTGGTGCATTCATGTTCAGAATGGAGATATACCTTCCTTGAAATGGCGTGTGTTGATGGAGTCTACCTCTACAGAATTAGCGAATGATGATAATCAGTGTATGATTTGTTCTATGAACCTTAAAACTCAACAAGAGTTAGGAGATGCAATTGTGACTTCATTTGTTTTTTTTGTTACTGGCCAGTTTTGACAACCGAGATGATTAAACAGCGTACGTTGGTGCCTTCCTTACCAATGTACGCTTGGGCTCCTGATGATGCCGTTGTGATATGCTTCACTTCTGGTACACCATGTTTGACTTCTGCTTCTTGTATTTTCCATAATAATCGTCAGTTTACTTGAGATCTCTTTTTTTTGTTTCTTATTGGGATTAGGTACAACGGGAAGACCCAAGGGTGTCACCATAAGCCACTTGGCTTTCATCACACAGTCTCTAGCTAAGATTGCTATTGTTGGATATGGTGAGGATGATGTACGCTTTTCACCTCCACTTATCTGTTTGTCCTCAATGAACTCTGCAGAGCTGAATACTTCCGTAAGTACAGAGTCTCTTTAATTTCTCTGCAGGTGTATTTGCATACATCACCATTAGTTCATATCGGCGGTCTGTCATCAGCTATGGCCATGCTAATGGTTGGAGCTTGCCATGTTCTGCTGCCCAAGTTTGATGCCAAAACAGCCCTTCAAGTTATGGAACATAACCGTATAACTTGCTTCATCACCGTCCCAGCTATGATGGCTGATCTTATTCGTGTCAACAGGTAAAAAGAGAAATGAACTTTTTTCTTGCTTGAAATAAAAATTTGTCTTTAAAACCGTTGGTTGGCTAAAATAATTTAACTCAAAAGGACAACGAAGAATGGAGCTGAAAACCGCTGCGTGAGAAAGATACTAAATGGAGGTGGATCTTTATCAACCCAACTTCTTCAAGAAGCTGTAAAAATATTCCCATGTGCGAAAATACTTTCAGCATATGGTGAGTCATTCTCATCTGGCTTCTAAATCAACCGTTTTTATTAATCTTTTGACCCTAAACTCTTTGAGATGTTGGTATTAAAGGGATGACAGAGGCATGCTCTTCGCTGACCTTCATGACTCTCCATGATCCAACACAAGAGTCTTTTAAGGTGACATATTCTTTGGTTAATCAACCGAAGCAAGGCACATGTGTTGGCAAGCCTGCGCCTCATATCGAACTGATGATTAAACTCGACGAAAATTCATCGAGGGTCGGGAAAATTCTAACTCGCGGACCACACACAATGCTTGGATATTGGGGTCATCAACTAGTTCAAGAAAATGTTGCATCATCAGAATCCAGAAGCAATGAAGCTTGGCTTGACACAGGTGATATCGGGACCTTTGATGAGTTTGGGAACTTATGCCTTATAGGCCGGTCCAATGGCCGAATCAAAACTGGAGGCGAGAATGTTTACCCCGAAGAGGTCAGCTTCCAACACAAGAAACTGCTCGATATTAGCCTCAAATTGTGTATTTTTACATGGATTGAATCGATAATTTGCGCAGGTCGAAGCTGTTCTAGTAGAGCATCCTGGGATTGTTTCTGCCGTGGTTATAGGTGTCATTGATGCTCGTCTTGGAGAGATGGTCGTTGCTTGTGTTCGTTTACATGAGAATTGGATATGGTCTGATGTTGAAAACCGCAAACAAAGTTTCCAACTGTCAAGTGAGACACTCAAACATCATTGTAGAACACAGAACCTAACCGGGTAAGACCATAATTATCGGGCCATCTATTGGACTGTTCTTATGTTAAAAAAATATTAAAATCTCTTAGAACAGGTTTTGGAACATGGAAAGTGATCTTGGGCTAGAACTGTTTTTGGGCTGTTCTTGTGGCGACGTGGCACCCGCGGATTGGTTGCGATTTTTGTTTAATAATTATTTGGAATTGTATTTTGTGTTTCTTTTTATTTTCAAATCAATTTTAATATAAGTTTAGTTTTTATGTTTTCAATTTTAAAAATAATTTTTTTTTAATTTTTAAAAAACATTTAAAGTTTTTGATTATTAAATTATTAATTCCTATGATCTAAACATATTCTACCAATAATCACTTACTTTACAAAAGATCTTAATTAAAGCTCTTACAATATTTTAATATTTTTTCTCCCTTAATATCAAACTTCAACGATGCACCCTTGCATATGTTCTAATATATCTTTTATATTCTAGTTTCTAAACGAATAAAATATTAATAAATTTTGTTCTGTTATATACAGTATATACTTATTAGTTTGATGAAATGGATGATCTTGTTGGACAGGTTTAAGATACCGAAGAGGTTTGTCCGATGGGAGAAGCAGTTTCCGTTGACAACAACTGGGAAAGTGAAAAGAGATGAAGTTCGAAGACAAGTTATGTCTCATTTCCAAATCTTGACTAGCTCTCTATGATCATTACATTTTGAAACCGTAAAACATTCTTTATTTGTTTGATACAATCTTTTAGGTTATTATGATGGGTGATAATGGTATTTTAGGTTCTCATGATCATGATATATCAAACCTTATTAATAGTGTCGTTAAGGATAATGAGAATCCGAATGTTGATCTTCTTGAGGATTTAGATTCCTACTTGGATGATTTAAACAAGAGGAGTTAACTGTTTCAAGAAGATTCG